CCTCAGCATTAGGAGGCACTTCCTGACAGTAAGGGCTGTTTGACACTGGAACACTCTCCCTTGGAGAGTGGTGGAGCCTCCTTCTTTGGAGGTCTTTAAACAGAAGCTGGATGGTCATCTGTTAGGTATGCTTTGATTGTGAGTTCCTGCATGGTAGGGGGGTTGGACTGGATTGTCCTTGTGGTCTCTTCCACTCTATGATTCTATGATATCATCAGTGGAAGGATTTCTAGCATTTGAACTGCACTAAAAAAAATTCTGCAGAATTTGCATCTCTCCCAACCTTCTATTTTCTGAAAATAGAAGTTTGGGAGTCGGGAAAGAGGGTACAATTTCACTAGGGAATGGTTCAGAGTAGAGGTGTGGCCCTCCCTAGAAACATAAAATCATAGATTCTCAAAGTATGAAAGGATCACAAGAACTGCCCAGTCCAGTTCTCTGGCATGGAGAGCTAAAGCATTCCTGAAAGGTACCCATTCAGCCTGTATTTAAAAATGACCAGAGAAGAAGAGTCGACCATGCCCTGAAGCAGTTTATTCCATTATCAAATAGTTTGTACAGTCAAGAAGTTCTTCCTAAAGTTTAGGTGGAATCTCTTTTCTTATCAACAGAATCCGCTGGTTCTTATTCTAGTTTCTGAAGCAGCAGAAATCAAACTTGCTTTATCTTCTATATGGCTATCATATCAACTCTCAAGTCTTCTCCGAGCTAACCACTTTTCTTGTAGGGCTTGGTTTCCAGACCTTTCACCATGTTGAATATGTTTCAGCTTGTCAGTCTTCTTTTTGAACTCTGATGCTCAAAATTGGACACAATATTCCAGATGAGATCTGAGCAAAGCTAAATAGCATAGTACTACTAATTTCCCCAATTTCCAGATGTAGTTGAGCTGAAAATCCCATCATTCCTCAGTACAGGCTATGAAGTGAGTGGTGTCTGGTAGTTTCTATGTCAAAGGCTGCATCCACACTGCAAAAATAATCCATTTTGACACAACTTTAACTGCCATAGCTCCACGCTATGGAAATCTGGGAATTGTAGCTTGTTGTGGCACCATATCTCTCTGACTGAGAAGGCCAAATATCTCATTAAATTAATATTCCCAGAATTTCATAGCATTGAGTCCTGGCAGTTAAAGCCGTGTCAAAGTGGATCATTTGTGCAGTGCAGATGCTGCCAAAGAGACCATAATCTGAACTCCTTTAGAGATAGCCAGGATGCTGAATCAGCACTTAGGACAGTGGTTCCCAAACTTTTGTCCTCCAGATGTTTTGGACTTCAGCTCCCAGAATTCCTGACTGTTGACCAAAGTGACTGAGGCTTCTGGGAGTCCAAATCACCTGGAGGACCCAAGTTTGGAAATCACTGATTTAGGATAAGTCCTCCACAGTTTGCACTGACATCCTGAGTGGGTTTACAGCCAACTGCTTCTGTGTGCAATCTGGTACTATGCCAGGAGCAGGCCTTTCCCCATCCTTGGTTCAAAGGAATGGAGTCTTACCACCCTGGAATCTTTTAATAAAGAAAAACCCTCATTCCATTCCACCAGTCAACACTGTAAGGTGTCTTGCCTAAACTAAGACTTTACAGATACAGATTGCATACTAATGAAAGAAACTAACCACTGTCAAAATACTTGAACTGGTGTGCACATTCCTCACCTCCTTGCTCCTACATATATTACAAATCAAATTGCAGTTTGAAGGGTTTTCTTCTTCCAAAATAACCCAGCAGTTTGATTAGGTGCTTCTTTTATAGATCTCACGTTATCCTTCACAGCTCCAGCCTTATGTCTTATATAACAATTATGACCTGTAATGATACAGCTGTTTTTCTTTCATTACCTCCGTGATCTTTTAGTGCAAAGGAAACCAGAGGCAGCTGAATTATGTATGCAGCACCAGTGTGTATAGAGAAGGGAAAGATGAAGCTGCAAAGCAATAAAAAGTACACGGTGCTTATAAGGCAGCACTTCTTTCCAAAGCGGCTCTGGGCTCTGAAGCAACACTACGCTCTCCAGATTTCATTTTGATTTCCATCATTTTCCCAGTAGGAGGAGGCTCACTGTATTATTCCAAAAGTGCCACGTGTACATTTTAAAGAGCTAACCAACCCTGTAAAGCAAAGAGCTGTTTTCCCTAAAATTGCATCATTAACATGGGAACGACATCTCTTTAAAACAATATCACACATAACTCCCACAGTAAGTGAGACAAAGGAGGAGATTTGCAAAAGCCATCTTAGTTTCTGCCCTTCCTTGGAAAGCTGAAAGCAGAGAAATTAAGTCCTTTCCATCTGCAATACTATACTCCTTCCCTTCCCCATAACAGAGCAGTCACAATGCTGTCCCCACAACAGCCGCCAGAAAGTTGTCTGCACCAAAACACAGAGCTGAGAAGTAACTTGATTTTCTTATTCTTTACTGTTCTAACAAGTTACTTTTTGCAGTAATGAGCTGTGCATTGCTTTTTTTCCTTGCATCTGCCATGGCTGTAATTCACTACTTTTTAATGAAGAATGGGTTATCTATTCTTTTCCTCATTACTTGGAAGTGGGGCGACTCAGGCTGCATCCCCACAGCAGAAATAATTCAGTTTGATACTGTTTTAATTGCCATGGCTCAGTGCTATGGAATTCTGGGAATTGTAGTTTTGTGAGACATTTACCCTTCTCTGTCAAAGAGCTCTAGTACCACAACTAACTACAGTTCGCAGAATTTCATAGCACTGGGCCATGGCAGTTAAAGTGGTGTCAAACCGAATTATTTCTGCAGTGCGGATACAGCCTAAGCCTCTAGTTGCTATCAAACTACATCTAGTGCTCAGATGATATTTTTTTTAAAGGTGAATTATTTCATGCCCAGGTTATTAAGACATGACAGTTATTTTTGTAGCTTGAACAATTTTATTGTTATTTGAACTGTAAATTTTGCTTTGGGATGGGTTGTTTTGGTAATATACACATAGTTAATTTCATAAAGAAAGCTGAGGGGGTTTTTTCCCCTAAATAATGAACAATAACAAATATGACTCTGGGCTAAACTAGACTTTATCTTGGCAACATATTCTCCCCAATTCACCATTTGCCAAGAAAAAGAAGACAGAAGCTGAAATCCTGTTGATATTACACATTTGTTTAAGTTCTCTTGCTCACATGGTTGTACTTTCTTAGGGGCTATGCAGGTGGGCGGTTCTGGGCCGTCCCTGCTAGCAGCGGATCGAGGCCGCAGCAACCCCATGCCACAGCCCCGATCCTTCCTTTTGCCGCCCCTAAAAGAGCAGCAAAATGCCACTCCTTTTAGGGGCAGCAAAAGGCTACCCTAAGAGCTGGCGCTGCAGCTCTTCTGCATCCTTTCAGCACAGTGTCTACACGCTGCACGGGGAGGGCATCCTGATCCCGTGTGCCATGCAAACAGGTGTGCAGCATCAGGATAGCGTCGGGGTGGGGTTGGGGCAGCTGGCGTGTGGCTGCCCCGCCCTAACTCCACCCCCAGGCGCCCCTTTAGGCCGGTCTGCAACGCTTCTTATTCATTGTGCAACAGACATATTCAACTTGTGACTTCATAAGTGTAGTTTCACGAATGTAAGTGCAACTCCACGAATGGAATCCTGTGTCCAGTTCTGGGCACCACAATTCAAAAAGGATGTTGAAAAACTGGAGCGTGTCCAGAGGAGGGCAACTAAAATAGTGAAGGGGCTGGAATCCATGCCCTATGAGGAACGACTTAGGGAACTGAGTATGTTTAGTCTGGAGAAGAGACAGTTAAGAGGTGATATGATAGCCCTCTTTAAATATTTGAAGGGATGTCATACTGAGGAGGGAGCAAGCTTATTTTCTGTGCTCCAGAGAATAGGACTTGGAACAACGGATGCAAACCACAGGAAAAGAGATTCCACCTCAACATTAGGATGCACTTCCTGACAGTGAGAGCTGTTCGAAAGTGGAACACACTCCCTCAGAGAGTGGTGGAGTCTCCTTCTTTGGAGGTCTTTAAACAGAGGCTGGGT